GAGAGAGACTAAGAGAGAGAGAGAGAAAGAGAGAGACAAAGAGAGAGAGAGAGAGTGAGAGAGAGAGAGAGAGAGAGAGAGAGAGAGAGAGAGAGAGAGAGAGAGAGAATGAGAGAGACTAAGAGAGAGAGAGAGAGAGAATGAGAGAAAAAAAGACTAAGAGAGAGAGAGAGACTAGGAGAGAAAGAAAGATTAAGAGAGAGAGAGAGAGACTAAGAGAGAGAGAGAATGGGAGAGACTAAAAGAGAGAGAGAGAGACTAGGAGAGAAAGAAAGACTAAGAGAGAGAGAGAGAGAGAGAGAAAGACTGGGAGAGAGAGAGCAAGAGAGAGACTAAGAGAGGGAAAGAGAGACTAAGAGAGAGAGAGAGAGACTAAGAGAGAGAGAGAGCGCGCGAGAGAGAGACTAAGAGAGAAAGAGAGAGAGAGAGAGAGAATAAGGAAGAGAGAGGGACATAAAGAAAGAAAAAGAGACAAAAAGAAAAAGAGAGAGAAAGAAAGAAAGAGAGAGAGATCTCGTTCGGAGAGAATCGCCAGGCAACTCAGTTGTCCGCGCAAAAAGGGATCCAGGCTTTTTGAATCGGCGCTGTCATAAGTAGACGAGAAGACGGAGAAAGCGGAGGAATACATTTCGAAACAGTTTCGCAACGGCCCTATTATTCCGATTTAATTACCATAACTCCCTCCGCGATGCTGTGCCTTTCCGAGCCGTCGATGTCCAGTGCGGCCGGTAGATCGAGGATCACGGACGTTTACGGCGGGCACAGGTTAATCCTCCAACGGCAGAAAACGATGGAAAGTATGTACTCGGCTTTCGATAATGTTAGGCTTACGCGAACCTACTCGCCGGGGTACGCTCGGAACGACTGAGAATCCTGGGATATCTACGATTTTCGTGGTGTTTTCACCGTTTGTGGAATTCAACTTCTCGACCGTGAACGACTAGTACACTCGTCATAAAGAAATGACAATTTCACATCTTACGAACAAACACGCTTATCCCATGATTTAAGCGGAAATTTTTCTGAAACGTGTTCATAAGTTTCACGGATTTTGGAATACATAATTCTAGGACAACTTTCCGAAAGCAACCTGCATCCAGTGTGATCGATCACACAAAATTGATGTTAAGAATTGATCGACGCGGCTAATAATTCTAGTACAACTTTAAAAATTGATCGACGCGGCTAATTAAGAGAGCGTTTCTTCGGTTAATAAAGCGATTATTTTCGGGCATGCTCTTGTGGCATAGCAATTGATAAAAATTGGTAGCCTTTCTTAATCCGTTTTGATCGCTTTTCGTACTTAGAATCTATCTTTTTCTTCTTTTTCAAATCCGGATCCCGGTGTTGGAAGTTAATACAAGCTTGTACAACACATTCCCATTCAGAAGTATGATATCAGGTTTCGTGATTAACGAAGGAAGATATTATTACTATATAACGACGTAATAAACCTCGGGGAGTCAATAGTATTATAATCAGAGATGCTATTAGTGACTCCAAATATGCAGTCATTATATCGCGCGATTACAGCGATGCAATAAAATTTCTCAGATTAATGGTATTATGATTAGACCGGGTTTTACAGCATAGAAAAATTCGTACAGGTTGTGGTCTATGCGGTTTTATAAAGTTCAACGCTATTATTTTTCTAGTAGAGCAATTTCAATTTAGCACGAATGCTTGTCTTCGTCGTGAGGCATTCACTGACTAAAATAATATCCACTGGTCAAAATAATCCGTAGATGTCCCCAATTCATAATAATAATAATTATTATTATATTATTATAATTATTATATATATAT